CCGGGCCTTCAATTTCTCACCTAGAGTTTGTTAAACATTAAGTTAAAATCTGTCCAGTAGTTCGGAAGAGAGTCCCAAGGAGGACAGACAACTTTATTTTAAAACCTTTGACCGCAAAGTAAACCTGCTAAGTAGTTTGGGAAGGGAGTCCCCGGGGGGACGGACCACATTTTTTTTAGACATTTGATCCCCAAGAATACCGCATCAATCTGGTTAAAATCTGTTTAGTTAGTTGGACCTAACAAATCAGTAGCCAAACTTTTTTAACAATGGCCATGCTTTTTCGGCCTCCAACCGTTACGGATGGGCCCTCCATTAAAATCAACTAGTTTGGGAAGGGAGTCACACGGAGGACAGACCACTCTATTCTTAGAGCTTTGATCCCCAAGAATACCACACCATGCAGAATTGGTTTCCTTTGAAGATTAATCATTCAAGTTGCCCTATTTCCCCAAGAGTTAGCTGTGAGTAACCAGGAGCATCACTTTTATTGTCTCAAGTCACACCTAAGTAAAAAATCTGGATCAGTCTTTCAGAATGATTAAAACTGAATTAAAATATGCACAAGTATATGAAGATTATCCAGATTTCTGCATAAACTTTACACATATTTAAATTGAAACATAGCCGAATGTTAAACCATTTTAAGTAAGAGTAACTCATTAAATAATTTAATTTGTATACATCAAATACATACTTATTTCTTTCAAAGTTTTATGTATATTTCACAAGAAAACGGGAAAAAAACCCAGTTTAGCATGAGGCCTTTTATATGGATAGACTTTGCTACCCAAATGTTAGAATTATCTCCCCTTCCAAAAGAGTTTCTTATTGAGAGCCATATTCCCTTACATGTACTGATGTTAACCTCAGACTTGAGAAAGGCTACTACTGATAATACTAGGTCACAAAATCTATCTACTATTACTAGCATAGCAATTAAGGATCACTGTTCCACTGCCAAAAACTACAACGACACATAGGAAACTGTCTACACTGGCATGACTACAGCTTTGATAAATCATATCAACCATACTGTTCGGGACTTTTTAAAGAAAAATAAACAAAGATGAAATACACAAAAAATAGCCATTAATAATGTAAAATTCGAGCGGGGCTGGACCAGGATTCGAACCCTTGACTTGATACTGTTATACTAATGCTCTAGCCCGCTGAGGTACCTGGTCAACGAGGAGGTGCTCTTGCCAAGCCGTGCTAGTTATATTTGAAACGAAATTAAGGGAGGTTATTGTATATACGAACTATCACACTACAGTGGGACAGGGATGTCTGCAATGTACAGCAGTGGGACAGGGATGTCTGCAATGCACAGCAGTGGGACAGGGATGGCTGCAATGCACAGCAGTGGTACAGGGATGTCTGCAATGTACAGCAGTTGGACAGGGATGTCTGCAATGTACAGCAGTGGGACAGGGATGTCTGCAGTGTACAGCAGTGGGACAGCGATGTCTGCAATGTACAGCAGTGGGACAACGATGTCTGCAGTGTACAGCAGTGGGACAGGGATGTCTGCAATGTACAGCAGTGGGACATGTTTCCAACACATACACACGATTTGTGGAAATTTAAATAATATTTTATTCACCCAATTGATTACAGAAATATACATTATTTAGTACAGGTGTACTTTACATACAGATTGATGTAAAATCAGAAATAAGATGTACAACATCACCCATAAAATGAAAACATCACAAAATCTTGAGGACAATTATGGATGTACTTATCAGGTGTCAATATGATATTGATTACCTATGTATATTATAATTCAATAATACTGCATGCTACTTACCCAGCTTCAATAAAACAGTTCGATACTGATTAACATTATAAATAAATAATACTGTACAAATCTATTACAGCTTAGATTATCATAAGTAAGGTCTTCATCACAACAAATCAATTGCTGACAGTCAAACAATATTTCATTCTTGCATATTAAACGACTAGCTGAAAAAAACTGTGGTATGCATATAATAACATGCTTATCTTTTCAAGAAACCAAAACTTTTTTCCAGAGGTAATCCATGTTTGATGATCCTACACGAAATACTATAGCAAAATCTGGATTGTAATATAAACCCGATCTTTTCGAGGATAAGAATAAAAATGAGAAAGTGTTAGACTGGTTTTATTCCAGCCTCCATCAGAGATAAATGTATAGAGACACATCATAGTGTGGGATCTGTTGATCTGCATTTATACAGATTATTTGTTACCATGAAGGACATTTTCTGTTATTAAAAGCTGTATACTGTAGTCGTTAGTAAGCAAAGGTGGAAGAAAACCTTTGGACAAGCCATAAGGAAGTTAGTAAAGAGATCAAAATATTGTGAAGTGATGAATGTTTTAGGTTAGTAACAACATTCACAATTAGTGTAATTTTATTACAAAAATTGAAATATATAATAAACAATGAATGTGTGACATTCTTTTCAAAATAAATAACATTAATTTTTTTCCGTTAATAAATCAAACTGCCTCATGTATATTCTAATATAAGATTATGCTTTAAACAATTGTACTTATACATACAGTTATACATACAGACTAGCTTCAGCAGATAACAAGACTTTAATATTTACCTAGATTTCAACATTTACCTTGAGATAAAGACATTTCCGCATCATGCTCACTCAAATGTTTCCAACCAGTAGGGCCTCAGCATGAGGTGAATTTTCAAAAAATAATTTAACAAAATATTAACTCTGATAGTGACTTTGACCTTGTGGTGAGGGTCCTCTGAAATAGGGTGTGACACACTGTCTCTATTAGGGATATGTATACAACACTTCAAAATATCTACAGGTTTTAGGAAGTTGTAACCAAAAAACATTAGACAAGTAAAGTGGGTATACTTTGAGCAGTTTTCCTTTAAAAGAGAGGACAGGGTGGTAGGCCGACAGTATCTAATTAAGAAGGAAGAACCTGCTTCCTTTATAATTCTTTCAGGAGAACAATAGACATACCTCCCAAGCCTGTAGTCATTTAAGTCCACTCTCTGGTGTATAGCATACAAAAGCATTATCAGCATACAATCTCACTACCACAAACTGTTTACAAAAGACCATGGTCAACATCATTTCAGCACCATCTTAAGTAATTAGCCCTGAGGTTTTATTTCTGGTCCTCTAATACATGTGTATCTCTGGCACTAACTCATGTTGTTAAAATGTCAATAGTATAATTATATTTGCTGATATATGATGTACATGCTCTTCGTACTGTGAAAGCCCTTCTGTGAAATGTCTCAAGGGAACATTGATCTGTCTGTGATATATAGACAGTCATAGACTGGTAAGATCAAGGTTATGTGAAATGTTTCGAGGGAACATTGATCTGTCTGCGATATATAGACAGTCAATGACTTCTAAGATCAAGGTTATGTGAAATGTTTCGAGGGGACATTTATCTGTCTGTGATATATAGACAGTCAATGACCTCTAAGATCAAGGTTATGTGAAATGTTTTGAGGTGACATTGATCTGTCTGCGATATATAGACAGTCAATGACTGCTAAGATCACGGTTATGTGAAATGTTTCGAGGGAACATTGATCTGTCTGAGATATATAGACAGTCAATGACTTCTAAGATCAAGGTTATGTGAAATGTTTCGAGGGGACATTGATCTGTCTGTGATATATAGACAGTCAATGACTGCTAAGATCAAGGTTATGTGAAATGTTTCAAGGGGACATTTATCTGTCTGTGATATATAGACAGTCAATGACTTCTAAGATCAAGGTTATGTGAAATGTTTTGAGGGGACATTGATCTGTCTGCGATATATAGACAGTCAATGACTGCTAAGATCAAGGTTATGTGAAATGTTTTGAGGGGACATTGATCTGTCTGTGATATATAGACAATGACTGCTAAGATCAAGGTAATGTGAAATGTTTCGAGGGGACACTGATCTGTCTGCGATATATAGACAGTCAATGACTGCTAAGATCAAGGTTATGTGAAATGTTTCGAGGGAACATTGATCTGTCTGTGATATATAGACAGTCAATGACTGCTAAGATTGAGTTGAAGCAGGAATGTTACTATGACTGGCTACAAATGTTTCTTACTTCTAAAAAACATATCAAATTTCCTAACAATACTTCTAAAAACAGTTGCAATCAAAAGTATAATAATTTCATTCAACAGAACAAAATTGGCACTTGTGAAATAAAATAAATCAATGCTTAGGTATAGTCACATAAAGATACACAATAAGTTAAACAAAGTCCATTGAAAACATATATCTATTTCACAATTTTGCAGAATACAAATATTTTCACATTTGTGAAGCTCAGCTAAACACGTATTTCACTCGTGTGACAAATACATCAGCAAATTTTACTGTGCCCATCACACTCGTGTAAATATTTGTACTCGGTCAAATCCTGAACTATATAAATGTGTATCCAAAGAAAGCAACAATTAGTCAAGGTCCTAAAATGATTTCAAAACAAAAATAAAATAGAAAACAAAAAACAGTTATAAATATACAATTTTTCATGAAGCACGAAAAGTGTCTGTACAGTCAAACAGCCTCGGCAACCATCTCTATTCCTTGTCAACCATCTCTATTCATTGTCAACCTCGTAGTAACAAAATATGATTGGTAACATTAAGAATGCGGTTTAATTGTCTTTTATTTTTACTATTATACTTTTTAGATACAGCTTTGATTTGTTTTATTTTCGCTATATTAGCGTGTATTCTGTCAATTTTTAGCTTTTGCTACATTAGCATATATGTAAATTAGACAATTTGTCTTTTAATGAAAACCATAATGGGTTAAGCACGGAATATATTTCGTGCTTCTGTGATAATTTTATTGTAATTGTATTGAACGACCGTTTAAATTATGAAATAACTGTGATATGAATTGCTGTTTTAGTAGACCAACAATTATTTTATGTACATTTATTTGCTGTGATACTACTTTGTCTTTTAACTAACCAATTTTACTAACAGAAGACCCTGTGGAAGATTAGCTTTGCTAAACAGGTTTTGTATCCTCAATAAATAAAGTTTATTATTATTATTATTATTAGTTCTGGGATGTAGTTTGCTGCGTCCCTTCAAAGGTCGTTAAGGCAGGTTTGATGTTTGAAAATTGTAACAAGCACTAATTGACCAATCGGCGATCCCCAATTTTTACATATAAGACATTTTACAAGTGATAAGTCCACCCCTATAGAGCTAGTCTCAGGCTAAAGCAGTCTAAAAAGAAAAATACCTCAAAAAGAAAAACAGAAATAACAAAAATGAAATGCTGAAGATCTGAAGCCCCAAGATTTGATTTTTTGGCTTGATTATCACATGATACGTCACATGATACAGCAGGTGACAGGCCCATACATCACAATGACAATCCGGAATGACTAGTACTGTTAACACTAGGACGACTTGTATCCATTTGGGTTCTGTGACTGCCATCGCCATAGATCTTCACCTGTAAAAATAAGACACCAACAGGATATCAACACCACAGCTAAATCACACCACAATCACACCACAGGTAAATCAACCTACAGGTAACTAGAACACTGACATGTCAGCAAGGGCCCCAAAAATCTTCAAAGAGAACTTGAAGCAATCATTCAGAGTATTGGTAATAAAGAGTAATGTTAGCATATGTAATTTGACAAATATCAATTATGAACAAAATCAGATCAATGTTAAAAGAACAGAAGTTATAACCAAAAGCTTATCAGAAGCGATGGTGCCCATCTTTTTTATGTCGAATAGACAATCTAGTGTGTACCTTGTACCACAAAGTATGAACAAAATAGACATATATATGTCTCAGCCAGTCAGAAGCCATGATGGCCATTTTTATGGGTTTTGGATAATTTAGGTTCTTACTCATCATATAGACAATCTTGTATGTACCCTTTTCCAGAAATTATATACATTGTAGAACAAAAGTTTAATATAGACATATGTAAGTCTCAGCAAATGAGAAGCAACAGGAAGTGACAATCTTTGATTTCAAAATACAGGAAAAATGGCAATATTAATGTAATATATCCTCAAAGCACCGTTAAACCAGAATCAGCTCACAGCGACTTGGACCAGCATCGGTTCACATGAACCATGTAACTGACATCAGCTCACATGAACCATATGACTGACATCAGCCCACATGAACCATGTGACTGACATCAGCCCACATGAACCATATGACTGACATCAGCTCACATGAACCATATGACTGACATCAGCTCACATGAACCATGTGACTGACATCAGATTGTATTGTCCTTTGAACCAGTATCGGGCGACAAGTGACAAGGTTAGTTATAAATCTATATAACTTGTAGCTACTTACACATTTCATCGAGACCCCGCGTTGCCTTCCAACCGAGCTCCTTCTCTGCTAAGGCTGCATCTGCATAACAGGAAGCTACGTCACCTTCTCTTCGTGGGCACAGTTTGTAAGGCACCTGGAGAGCAAACGAATGTTCCAACATGAACCAGGAATAAACCCAATGATAGGTATTAGGCCTGGTATCTTGTTAAACAGAAGAGTTCTATTTTAGAACCTGCCTTCGCTGTATACAATGTCAAAGTCAGGAATCAACCTGGCACACATTTAATACCATTCCTAAGGACAAGGCCCTTGCATGTATCACACTTTTTAAGGAGGGCCAACTGTGTTAACCATCACATCTTTTTTAAGGAGGGCCAACTGTGTTAACCATCACATCTTTTCCAGCATCTACCGAATTCTACACTTTCCAGAAGTGTAAATTTTCTAGCCCTTTTAAGAGCCCATTGAGGACTATGAACCTGCTTTGAACAAATCCTACAGATAAGTATGTCAAGTAACATCTCGAGTACTATTTTACCAGAATTAAGTAAATATATATACTTACTGATTTTCCCGAGGCTTTCTCAAAGGCTTTCAGCATGTCTAAAACAGACAACCCTTTTCCAGTTCCCAAGTTGTATAACTGAAAATGAAGATCGTGGAGTGAATTTACTTTATCATGATCTGGCTATTATAGTGAGATAACAACATCACAGTGAACAACGGGCCTATCAACTCTGTATAAAGTGGGGACATGAAACATTTGAGACAAACAGATATTATTAAAAACATTTATACTAAACCATATGAAAATAGTGAAATGTACAGAGAAGAAACTACATTTATATTGTATTATTTTAAAGTCACTACATTTTACTATATGGTTTTAAAGAACAGTTTAATTATTTTTGGGCTGTCTTGAAGTAAGAAAACAGGGTACTTGACTGCAATAGCTTATCAAATGTATGTACATGTCATATAATATAGTACCTTCAAAAAATCTTAAATTGTGCAAGATTTGTCTCCCTTTGCAATTAATGAATTCATCTTCAGCAATTAAAACCAAAGAAATTCCTTGAGTAAATATTGGCCAAATTTCAGGTCCATTTGATGATTTTTGTGTAGATACTTTATTATCTATATGAATAATACTAATGTTCTACCTAAATCAGTAAATATGATATCCATACACCAAACCCTGTAAAAGCAATATAGACTATAGTAGTCTATGTATATAAAGTTATGATTTAAATCATAAAGTTGAATTGAAATGCTTCAATTGCAAAGTATTAATAAGTTGACAGGAATAATTTTCCATAATATTTTTGGATGACTTACTATATCTCTGCATGCCAATTTTACAAATAGTACCACGTTAATATCCTTCCCCACCCCTAAGAACCTAATCTGCTATAATCCAGTGCAATATTACTGTATACACCCTAAAAAAGCAATAGTTATTTAGTTAGAAGAAATATTTAGTATCTACAAATTCGAAGTCATTCAATAAAGTCCACACAGTTATCCTTTCTTTGACCTCTTCCTCTTTGGCTGTAGGAGCTGGTCCAACTTTTCCTCTATGGATTTCTGTCCCTTTTTTAGCTCATTCAGGTAATGCGAAATGGACACTAGAATCTTCGTATTGCCGTCATCTATATGATTTTTGGTTTCCAATAATGATAATAATTTTTCTGTCACTGTGACTAGTGTAGGTGTTGGTGTTGGAGAAATGTGTAAGTTCTCCGGGGCCATCGGTACCTCCTGGGGGGCCTCGCATACAGCTTCCCTAATATCATCAAACATACTTAGGTCGAATTCATCCAGTGTCGGGAGGGCCACTGATTCCTCAGTCTGTAGTAATTCAGAAATTTCTTTCAGCGGGTCTGCAGGCTCCTTCCCAATGGCTCTCCTTGACCAGGATGCTTCAGATTCCTCTTTGGTGAGCCTTTTCAGGTGAAGATCATCCATCAGGATGAGGGGCTGCTCTGACTGCTTAAGAAAGTTGACATCATCTAATGATCGACCAGCTGACTCACGCGTCAGAAGCTTTGCCTTATGGTCAGGGTAGCTGGTGACATGTCTGTCGAGGTCATGTTGTCGCCAAGCACAAAACAAGCATAGGGTGCAGTAGTAAGGACATCTCTCTAAAGGCACATGGTGTTTATAAAAGTGTGACACCACTCTCCTCCTCTCCTCTGTGTAGTCACAGGCCATACATTGATAAGCTCTACCTCTTTTTGAAAGTGATTTGTCCATGGCTGTCAAATGGGAAAATAATGCTCTTTAAATACTGATCAATATGTAAAGACAATACAATGAGTCCACCGCTGCCACCAAAAACTCTATGTAACAGCCAAGTGGTTTGACCCAATCACAAATATGGTAGCGTGGCTGACTGCTAAATAAGAGTTTGGTATTAATCTGATTAATACCAAGTCCATAAAGGACTAAAGACATGTCATCCTCAAAGTCCCAAGTAATGTCAACTATAGTAATTTTGTCATCAATCTCTTCTTCATAAGATGCTTTCATTTCCAGGTACTGGTTCCAACATCAATAAAGGTTGTCAATACAAACTGACTTCAATTGAATTACTCAGTTCCAATTGACTAGTTGGATACTGGTAAACAAGACTAAACTCCTTTTGAGTTGTCTGCCCTTACACCAAAAAAAATAGCTATGACCTTAGACCAGTTGTAGAGTTAAATATTGTTTTACTCTCTAAGGTGACTCATTATCCCATGGATAATGATCCTATTCTTCAAAAACCAAATAGTGAATTCAAGTTCAATAATTTAATTGTCAACAATAAAGGATTTAAATATTAACAATAACAATCTCTCATTCCCAATCACTAAGCCTTCCTTATCCCTCTCACTATCACTAACTCTCTATCCTTTCTCACAATCATGCTGTAAACATTAGTAGATGATATATACAATGAAAATTATCGATGTAAAACTATGAAAGCTAACAAGAAGGATATTGCAAAACTATTCCTTCTATTTATAATATTTATAATACTCCTCCTATTACTCCAGCCTAATAACTTCCCCAATAACTCATTATATATGGATGAAAAACTACTAATGAATTATTAATGAATAAACTTTAACAATGAACTTCAAAATAAACTATAAATGTTCCCAAATCTTGTTCAAAATGAAATCCTTTCCATATATGTCTTAAGTTATTAAAACCCTACACAAATCCCCAATAATAAATTAACCCAATCCCCATATAACCCATAAACATAAAACAAACATACAAGACGAGACAGCCACATCTGGAATTGAGGAAATGGCCTCGTTATTACATAGCGGAAGAAACAATTAGAGACAAGCACAACACACACCCACCTAAGCTGCCTAGAACAGACTGAACCCCAAAACTTCAAAACTAACGCTCGCTGGAGTCTTCCTGGAATGTTACTATAGAGATCGCATGAACTTATTCCCCCCTCGCTGGATTCTTGCTGGAAAATGTTAACTAGTTTAAATAAGTTTAAATAAGTATTATACACAATTCTCTCTCATAAATAAATATATTCCTACTCACATGCATGCACAATTTCGACTTACATTCTCGCTACGACTTCATCCCAAGAATATTTACTTTCGTTTCTGCCGACCGACTTGCGTACTACGTCACTTCCGATGCATACTTCCGCTACACAAACGTGCTCTCGATCATTACCAAGATTATAAATAATACGGAGGATGACTTAGGTAACTACCGAAGTTAACGCTTAATAATGACATAAACATTCACTCTATTCATACATACAACTGTCAATCACGTTAATAATAGAATAATTACTAAATCGATATAAATACTACTAACTCATGTATGATTTTGGCAAAGTACTTGCACTACGTAATCACATCTTGTCACAATCCTCTCAACTAATCAGACCCCAGTATGCTTATTAATTTTGAGCAAACTTTGCTCATTTTCTAACTTTACTCTCTCTCTTTTTAAAATAGAAATATGGACAAGATTTCATCAGAATTAGGTCATATTTCAACAAGTAATTGTGTAGACACCATAAACACATTAGAACACAGTATGCTTATATTAATCATGTATGGATTTTCTCAAACTCAAATTTATTCTGACTTCGTATATTGTAAATTCTTAATACCCTATCAAATCAAACATAAGCCAGTATTTCGAGAAACCAAAGTGTGGATAGAGCGACAGATAGGAGGATGGAGGTAGAAGTGATTTATTTAATGTTCAGTTGGCCTCCTACCTTACAGCCACATTTCTCGTCCAGTTTCTTCTGTGCTGCCACGTGTCCCACAGCCAAGTCCACAACGTGGATGTAGTCTCGCACTCCTACAGACACAACGGGTAGTAGAGGATAATTGTAACTTACACCAGATACATAGACCCCTGCTATTGATCTGATGAAACCGAAGCTAAATACATTGTCTAACCAAAGAAACGGAGCTAAACGCAATGTCTAACCAAAGTAAGTGAGGCTGGAAATATACATCACAGTAATCTACATTTGATAAGTTGGTGTAGTGTTCTTTAAAATACATCCACCTATGACTTTTGATGACTTTGGTGTTACCAGTAACAGAGTAATGTTACCAATGGTGTAGGAATCGTATCATCACACAACCGATGAAAACCAGGTAAAATGACCAGTCTAATGACAGCAGACTAGATGTCAGGACTATCAACGCAGGTTTTGTGCTCTTCTTATAATTGGCATCGTTCTTTAACATTGTCAACACTAATAACATTGTCCAGCAGTTCAGGCCTTAATCAATGTTTAGAACTGAGTGAGCAATGTCTCTGATGTACGAGCAGGGAATTTGTTACATTAAATACCTACTTACAATCATACATCTGACTTACCTGTTCCGTCAGGTGTGTCATAGTCCGAACCGTATATGCTTAACTCCTTCCTCTTGCCGACGGCAGTCTGTGCTATATATGGCATGAGGTTGTTTGGGGGCCCTTGTGGGTCTTCTCCAATGGTGCCAGACTTGTGGGCTCCCACGGGGTTGAAGTAGCGTAACAATACAATGTTCCATTCCTGCACAAAGATGGACAATGCTAGTATTTTTATACTTTAAGATAGGTATACTTACAAAATAGAAGTAATTGACTGAAAAGATCTTAGGTTGTATCACAAAGCTTAAATCTTCCCATATTTACTTATATGCTTAATTTGTCAAACTATAAACATATATATATTTAATCATTCAATAAACTATTTCCGATACGAAAATAATAATCTTTGTTCTTGATTTCAAGATAGTTATGGAAAAACTGGTTTATTTTAACTACGTATTTGCAGTGTGGAAATCCTCGTTTTTTGTGTGTTTTCCACTCCACAAACAGATTAAACAGTCACAACTAGGGCTGCAACGATATATTGTAATGTATGGTATGATTCGTATCGTATTAACTTTATTTTTATTCTTAGTGTTTTGGGAATCCTGCAGTGAAGATGTGGTCCACTGAGCTAAATTACTGAAATCATACACAAATATATTTTGACAGTATTTAATATTAAAGTCTATGACAAAACTATGACTGACAGGATCTCTATTGACTGACGAGGCATCTATTGACTGACGAAGCCTCTATTGACTGACAGGATCTCTATTGACTGACAGGATCTCTATTGACTGACAGGATATCCATTGACTGACAGGATCTCTATTGACTGACACGGTCTCCATTGACTGACAGGATCTCCATTGACCGACATTTCCTATATTGACTGCCAGGATTTCTATTGACTGACAGGATCTCCATTGACTGAAAGGATCTCCATTGACTGACAGGATCTCTATTGACCGACATGGCCTCTATTGACTGACAGGATCTCTGTTGACTGAGAGGGTCTCCATTGACTGACAGGATCTCCATTGACCGACATTTCCTATATTGACTGCCAGGATTTCTATTGACTGACAGGAACTCCATTGACTGACATGGCCTCTATTGACAGACAGGATCTCCATTGACTGACAGGATCTCTAGTGACTGACAGGATCTCCATTGACTGACAGGATCTCCATTGAATGACAGGATCTCTATTGACTGACAGGATCTCTATTGACTTACAAGGCCTCTATTAACTGACAGGATCTATATTGACTGACAGGATCTCTATTGACTGACAAGGCCTCTATTGACTGACAGGGTCTCCATTGACTGACAGGATCTCCATTGACCGACATTTCCTATATTGACTGCCAGGATTTCTATTGACTGACAGGAACTCCATTGACTGACATGGCCTCTATTGACAGACAGGATCTCCATTGACTGACAGGATCTCTATTGACCGACATGGCCTCTATTGACTGCCAGGATTTCTATTGACTGACAGGATCTCTATTGACTGACATGGCCTCTATTAACTGCCAGGATTTCTATTGACTGACAGGATCTCTATTGACCGACATGGCCTCTATTGACTGACAGGATCTCTGTTGACTGAGAGGGTCTCCATTGACTGACAGGATCTCCATTGACTGACCGGATCTCTATTGACTGACGAGGCCTCTATTGACTGACAGGACCTCTATTGACTGACATGGCCTCTATTGACTGACAGGATCTCTATAGACTGACAGGATCTCTATTGACTGACAGATCTCTATTGACCGACAGGATCTCTATTGACTGACGAGGCCTCTATTTAATATTAAAGTCTATGACAAAACTATGACTGACAGGAGCTCTATTGACTGACGAGGCATCTATTGACTGACGAAGCCTCTATTGACTGTCAGGATCTCTATTGACTGACAGGATCTCTATTGACTGCCAGGATCTACATTGACTGCCAGGATCTCCATTGACTGACAGGATCTCCATTGACCGACATTTCCTATATTGACTGCCAGGATTTCTATTGACTGACAGGATCTCTATTGACTTACAAGGTCTCTATTAACTGACAGGATCTCTATTGACTGACAGGATCTCTATTGACTTACAAGCCCTCTATTAACTGACAGGATCTCTATTGACTGACAGGATCTCGATTGACTGACAGGATCTCCATTGACTGACATGGCCTCTATTGACTGCCAGGATTTCTATTGACTGACAGGAACTCCATTGACTGACAGGATCTCTATTGACTGACACGGTCTCCATTGACTGACAGGATCTCCATTGACTGACAGGATCTCCATTGACTGACATGGCCTCTATTGGCTGCAAGGATTTCTATTGACTGACAGGATCTCTATTGACTTACAAGGCCTCTATTAACTGACAGGATCTCTATTGACTGCCAGGATCTACATTGACTGCCAGGATCTCCATTGACTGACAGGATCTCCATTGACTGACATGGCCTCTATTGACTGCAAGGATTTCTATTGACTGACAGGATCTCTATTGACTGACAGGATATCCATTGACTGACAGGATCTCTATTGACTGACACGGTCTCCATTGACTGACAGGATCTCCATTGACTGACATGGCCTCTATTGACTGCAAGGATTTCTATTGACTGACAGGATCTCTATTGACTTACAAGGCCTCTATTAACTGACAGGATCTCTATTGACTGACAGGATCTCTATTGACTGACATGATCTCTATTGACTGACAGGATCTCTATTGACTTACAAGGCCTCTATTGACTGACAGGATCTCTTTTGACTGACAGGATCTCTATTGACTGACGAGGCCTCTATTGACTGACAGGATCTCTATTGATTGACGAGGTCTCTATTGATTGACGAGGTCTCTATTGACTGACAGGATCTCTATTCACTGACATGGCCTCTATTAACTGACAAGGTCCCAATGGACTAACAAGGCCTCTATTGACTGACAGGATCTCTATTGACTGACGAGGCCTCTATTGGCTTACAAGATCCGACTGATGACCTTATTCCTCTTAGAACTGATTATTTTTACACAGGGTCAAATTTCTGTTTATACTTGACCCTATTGACTTACAGTATCTGATTTTGCAAGATCACAGAGAATCTCTTCGATAAAGTACTTGGTTTTGCCGTATGGACTGGTACATCCCCCTATAGGGTGCTGTTCGTCAAGGGGAAGATACTGAGGTGTGCCGTATACTGTTGCTGAACTTGAGAATATCAGATTCTTCAGATTATTCTCTTTCATTACCTGAAAATATTACAAGGTTACGATTAAAATCATGTCAATGCCAAAGACATCATAAATTAAACAATTGCAAAGGTCAAGGAATTAACAAAGGTCAAGGAATTAACAAATTTCATCGCTAATGGAAAATATCACAGAAAGTCCAAAAGTTTAATATTAACATTCATATCATTTAACCAAAATATGATGTTTTCAAGTAGTTATTTAGAATGAACAGCATTGGTTGTGCTACGAGTTTCTATTGGTCTACAACTACACTGAAATCTTGGGTACAACAAACTTTCAAAATATTTCAATGGTATTTGATTTGTGTGAATTTGTAAAACGCTAAAACAAAATTACAGCTTAAATCTTTACATTCACAATTTCCTGTGCACTGAAATATAACAAGAATATTTTTTTATTGGGGAGATATGCCTTGTCCATTTTCAGAAACAAATGATAAAATGGGACCTTTGATTCAAGAAATTTCCATTAGCGGTAGACTGTCTGAGTGAGCGTATAGATTGTCACTAGTACTCACCTCGAGGAGATTCATTGTGCCCCCAACGTTTGTTTTGTAGTATAACAAGGGAAGCTCACAGGATTCCCCCACAGCCTTCAGACCCGCAAAATGAATCACGCTTGTGAATTTATGCTGCGTGAAAAAGATAACAAAATACATATTCAAATTTTTAGTCACTAGCATTCATCAGAAAAGAAAACATGTAAGCAACATATACAAAACCATTTTAAAATTTGATTTGATAAAGTCCATGTGATTTTGCACTTAGAACATTCACAGCTTTTTAGAGCAGAATGAGTGCAATGTGTTCTATGTGTAATAGACTGAATCAAATGTACCAACTTATATCCATTCTGTAAGCTACATACTGTAATTACTCTAGTAATATTGTTTATAACCCTGCCCCCC